TAAATCTTTCTAATCTCCCAATAATAACAAGATTATGCTTCAATGGGTAAGAGAAAATGATAAATTAAATTGCGAATTCTGTCTTCTTCAGTATCATGATTATTATTTATTAATTGTGAATTATCATCAATCAATTCTTTTTCAAATTCAAAGGTTCCCAAAAAATTTACTCCTCCATTTTCTTCAGCATTTGTAAATGTATAGTGACTAGTTCTTCAAATTCAGCTAACTCATACAAAACACTGCCTTCATTGTCATTGTCATTATTGTTGTTTTCTTCTTCTGGATTAATGTTTACATTTTGAGAATATTTGGACTGGATTAAAGTTTCATCACCTTCATTTTAAGGTATCAAGGACCTTTTTCCTTTTTTCTTTTCTGAATATAGAGAACTTTTCTTGGTTTCTATGGAATCGGATAAATTCACTGAGTGTTTTGCACTTTGTACAGCGGGAGCATAGCTTGTTTTGAGCGATGTTGATTAGAGGCCTGCACGGGTCATCATAATTGAATGATTACCCAACCCGAAAAACCTGTATAAATTTATAATTTGCAACCCAAACCCGAACCCGATTTGTACACAAGAAATTTCAATCCAAACCCGAACTCAACCTGTTTTTTAACAACATTGTAACACGATTTTATTTAAAAAATAATTTTTATTGCAATTGTTAGTTACAAGTAAGAAAATTTTACTATAATGAGCTTCTTTATACAAGAATACTATCAATTGTTTGTGGATTTAAATTTGAGCAAAGCTCATTAACTGTAAGTCCAGCTGCACTAAATGCACTGGAACATATAATATGCAGCAAGCCTTGAAAGTCTTGGATAAACATGTTGATGGTCTTTCCACCATTCTAAAATATTAAAGTTATCATCTTTTCGTATTTTTGTTGATAAATACAAATCAACTTCATCTTTGTCAATAAATGTTTCGCAAATTCACCCTTGAATTTTACCCTGGGATCTTTTTTTTTTTGAATTTTATGTATATTTGAATTGTTATTCATATCTGAATTTAAAAGATCCGATAAAAAATTTAGAAACAATCTGTAATAATGTTTTTCATACCAATTAATTCAATAAATGATTTAAATGTTCCTTTACGCATTTCCTAATGCTTGTCTCCAATATTGATTGCTTTTAGTTTCACATGTATATCAAACAAGCATGTTAAAGTACTGGTAGATGGTCTTTTTATTATATCCATTAAAGTTTAAAAAAAAAAATAATTAAAAAAACAATACAACGAAATTAAACAAACACATTGCATATGAATTTTCTGATTTTTGGTAGAAGCATACTTTGAACAAAACGACAGATTATTGACAGATTATGAAAAAGCAAGTTTAGTACTATTAACATATATAAAAGAAGAAAAGGTTGCCGTGTTACGGTGCCCTACTAAATGTCGTAATTTTTGTGTAGATTTTTTATATTTTGTGTAATATTTCCCCTTTTTTTTCTTATTTTTGGTATGCTTCCCTAATCTAACGACTTTGCCCAATTTTGAAATGTTTGGTTGCACGGGAAATAATTCATTTTTAAAGAATATTCTGTTCTGTTCAGTTCAGTTACGATACGAATCAGCACGAATCAGCACGAATATTCTAAACGTCCTATTTCTCAACTTTGGCAAACTGAATTTTTGGGGAAGTATGAGATCAAAATCGAGGGTAAAACTTTGTGATGAGTCGTTTTTTTTTTCTTTACTGCGCTGGCTTGAAATGATTTGCAAATTGAAATTTGTTAATTAATAAAATTGAAATTTGAACAGAAATATTTTCGTTTTCCAAAAAAATGATAAATGGTTGTGGTTATTTTACGTCACCGTATCGTGTGAATCCCAATTGTTATCTGTTTGTCATGATTTGTGAAACTGAAAAACTTATCTGTTTTGGTTCAAAACGTCAGGGTTGAGTGAAACAGATATTTGATCAAAAGGAAATCGTGTTTCGCTTTAGATGTTTTTTGCGTGGTGTCAACCGCTGTCTACCGTTAGGTCTTCGTCTTGCTCTGACGTTTCGGACCGTTCAAAATGACTAAAAACTGATGGTCTTGTCTTGGAACCTTTACCTCGGATTGTCAAAGGCTTGTCACACAACGTGTTAGTGATATTTTCTGGTCACGAGACCGGGGTTCAAAAGCGTTTTATTTCATTGTCAATTTAAAAAAAAATGATCAATAAACAAACAATATGTGACAAATTTTTTTGTTGATTGTTCAAGAGAGATAGTGGGTGATCTGGATAAGAAAAAACTTGATTTTGACCATTTGAAGGATAGTGGATGATCTGATTTCTATTTGGAGAAAACAATAAAATCGAAAAAATTTCCTTTTGGGAAAAACAAATAAAATACGTCAGATAGAAAAAAAAGCTTGGTTGATTTTTTTTAAAACAATCGAAATTTGTAAATGACCTTTGATGTTTGCATGAAGCTTATTCTTCTATAGCGATAGACGAAAAAAAAACACGAGGAAATTCGCAAATGGCTTTTGATTCACACGAGGGTTCTTCTTTGCGAAGGATCTTTTTTTCTTTTAGTTAAGAAAAAAAAAGTTTAGTTGATTTTTTAACAATTGAAATTTATTCTTTTATGGTGATGTAGGCTTGAAAAAAAATCTGATCGATCAAATTGACCTTTAGTCTGGGATAAAAAATAAATGAACACAAAGAAAAGATCAAAACAAAAGATCTTTTTTTTTAAAAACAATCAAATTTGTAAAGCTTATCCTTCTGTGGTGATGTAGGCTTGAAAAAAAATCTGTTCGATCAAATTGACCTTTGATCTGGGATGTATAAATAAATAAATGAATAAAAAACAAACTAATTCGTCTTTCGAATCTTTTTTATTTGCTTGCTTTTGCATAGTATTTCTTTAATTTTGATTATTTGCTATGTCGTCTATCTTGTTGTCAACCATGTTCATCAAGTCAGCCAGTGGGACACATACGGTGACTGGGGTGACTGTGTGTTGTGTAGAAGAACACGAATATGTGGAGGTCAACTACAAAGCGTTCAGAATGAACTCCGCCGACAACAACATGGTCCATCGAATCTAAAAAAAATAAAATTAAACAGAAAAAGTAAACTGTTAAATACAATATGTATGACGACATACGAAGCTTCCAAAGCAAGTTTGTAAAATATACTGATGAACGTTTATCAATTATTGAATAGCTTGTATCGAAATAAGTGTTAAAAATCAAGATCTATGAATCTGTTTGTAAAATATATTTAATGAGCGCTTTATCAATTATTCAGATAATTATATAGGCGGGCTTGGTAGAAGAGTCAAAGTCAAGATCTATTTGCAAATCAAGTTTCCAAAATGAACGTTTATTATTATAGGCGGGTTTGATCAAAGTCTTAAAGTCGAGATCTACGAAGCTGTTTGTAAAATATATTTAACTAGCGTTTTATTATTATCAATCATTCAATAACTATATGTGCGGGTTTGATCGGACAAGATCTATATAATTAGATTGTTAATAATTAATAATGGAATTTTATTACATGCAAAAAAAATTTTTTTTGGGTTGTAAATTTTATTTTATTAAATAAATTTGTTTGATTTTTTCACACATCGTTCATGCTTCCTCTTGATCGTATAACTTAAATTGGTCGCGTTTACAATCATTTTGACATTCGTTATATTAAGGTTATTTTGATTATATCGAGAGGTATGGCCAGGAAAAGAGTTAGAAAGAGAGTTACTCTTCAACCAAGTCGAAAACCAACCCTTCAAATACATTTTCGAGTAGTACGATTTAATTTATTAGACTATTTCAAAGGTTTGTCGCATGCTTGCTTCCAAATTCTTAAATTCGAACCATTTGTTAACGAAACAACTGATTGTTGACAAAATGAATCAATTCGATGTTTTATGTTAATGTTTATTTTTACATTATCAAAATTCCCGATTTTGATTGGTCGATCAACAATTGCGTGGGTTAAAATTTTGTGTTACCAGAACGGTTCTCTCCTGTTATATGTAATAAATGATTGAATCAATTGAATCATGTATTTTTGTTATTGTGATTCTATGAAACGCTTGACGCAGTGGTATTTTTATTTTTTGACCATCTTGTATAACGTTGTATGATGATAAATGATTTCATGGTTTGAATGTGCTCACCATCTGCAAACTTGATTGCTTGAAGATGGACAGGGAGGTCGTAGAAAGTTGAGTTCCCGTGCGCTGAAATGGCCTGAGAGGAATTTCTCTACGAAAAAAAACGAAAAAAAAATGTGGGGACGGCCGTCCTATTTGTATTTTTTTGAATTGATAAAATAGACTATTATTGTCTTGACCTGAGTGATGTCGTTGTGTGAGTAAAAGACACGAACCTCATTGTCACGTTTTCGTTTAAAAACTTGTTTATTTCAATAACGAATTAATTTTTTTTTAAAAAAAATGTGACTTGTATATGACGAATAGCATCTTGTAAATTCATTTGTAACATATATGAGTTGATCTGAGAATCGACATACCGATATAGGAGTGAAGAGATGGGGAAATTTTCCCAACTTAATATCAAGCGCCAAACCTAGTACAGATTCTTATATTAATATTGATCGCTAATCAATGTTCCCATCCTTTAATGTGCAATTATTAAACAAAAAGTAGTTCGTGGGTGAAGGGAGGGATTACTTAAAGGGAGCCTAACAAAACAAAGCAACTAATATTCATCTTTCTTTGTTATACTTGATAGTTTTTTTTTTGAATTTTATTGTAGTAATGAAATTTTTAAAGTTTCTAAATATATCTTGAAAATCATTATATATATACTAAGCAGTAACCCTATCCTATATAATAATAGCTCAAGTTTTTTATTAATCCTTATTTAGTTAGAATTTAGCATTAATAATAATTCGTTTTTAATCATATGCAATAGCACGAGTTTTTTAATTATTGATTCGTAATCCAGTTACAAAATATGATTAGAAATAAAAACTCCACACTTTTGCATTATTTAACTTTTTAGCAAATACAATGTTAGACAACAAAAAATCACTATTCCAAAAAACTTTACTGTTTTTCTCTTTTTTTTTGATCTCATTGTTATGTAAAAGTTTTTTGTCTTCACTGGTTTGCTATGTTCAAGCTCGAGAAATTGATGGTAGCGATAATAATTCAAATTCAATTCAACCTTATCAAAGAGAATTTTCTTCCAAATCTTTTTACGGGTAAATTTAATTTTTTGATTAATTATTATTAACTAACCATGGAATTATAAATTCACGAAAAATCAAACTCTTTTTTTATTTACGAATAGACCAGATGGAAATCACTCTATGATTAAATGTCCATCCGATGTTGTTTTTACTAATCCAACCCTACCGGTTCCAAAATGTACCGATCCACTACCACCTGACAATTTCCCAATGCCAAGATGTGTTTCAAATATTATAACTAATTATCACTCGGAAAATTTTAACGTTGAACAACAATTGCGTTATCGATCTAAAAGACATACTAGTCATATGGTAAATCATCACCATCATCATTATTACTATTATTATCGTTATTGTTAATTCTTTTAAAAAATGCATATTTCGCAGGCATCATTTTTTGCTGGTTTCATTTTAAAAGATATTATTCAGTCGAAAACGGATACACCATCTATTCCGATCTACATACCAACCGACGACTCAATCTACAACCCGCCAACAAGTCAAAAATTTCAGGAATTTAATAGAACAAGCGATGAAATGAATCACGTCACACCGTTTCTTGACTTGAATCAATTGTACGGGCTCAACACAGAGGAATCAAGGAAGTTACGTGATATTGGTAACCGAGGAAAATTAAAGATGGATGAGAAAAATTATCCAATGAATTATCCGACTAGCGATATGATCGGAGGATTTCTTAATCGAGCAAATAATATTTTCACACTTGCAATTCAGATCATTTGGATGCGTGAACATAATAGATTGTGTAATCAATTTTATGACAAATATGGTGATTCGTGGACTGATGATCAATATTTTGAAGAGGCTATAAGCAATCAATTAAAGTTGTGTGATTATTAATGTAACAATCTATTAAGAATTATCTTATATTTGATTTAATTAGAGAAAATGGAATATTGCATTTTATCAAAAAGTAGTAACCGAAGAGTACCTTGGCATCATTCTTGGTAAACCATTGCCACCATATCAACAATATAATGAGAATCTAGTACCAGGAATTGATCTTTTCTTCGCAACAATAACATTCAAATATGTTCACAGCGAACTTGGGTAAATCAATCAATCAATCATCATGTAATTTTCTAATTATAATCATTAATTGACGTTATTCATTATTGATGATAGCAATAATTACCGTATACAAGATGAATTTGGAGAATTGCTTGCAGATCTAACGTTAGATAACATTTTACAAATTCAATTGTTGGAAAAGTTTGGAATGGAAAGAGTGTTGAGATCAATGTCCCTACAACATCAAGAAGAATTGGATATTTATTATTCCGATGCTATGAGAAATGCTACAACCATTGAACCGCGTATTTATGATATTGCAGCTTTTGATGTTTTAAGAGCCAGAGACAGAGGTGTGACAACTGCATTTTTATGTATGTTAATATGCACATGTAAAAACATGAATATTTTTTTTTGAAAAAAGACTTGAAATTTTGTAGGAATTGCTTTGTATAATGATGCTCGTCAAGCATATGGGCTAACAACAAAGAAAACTTGGCAAGGGATAACATCAGTTAAAATATTACAAGATTATCTGCAACAATTGTATCCTAATGGACCTAATCAATTAGAAACTTCCGTTGGTGCAATAGTTGAAGATCATTTGGATGGATCAAATTTTGGTGAATTAATGAGCATTAGTATGTTCACTCAGGTAGCCTTTATTTTCATTAATCACTAACTCATCAACACACCCACTCATTTATGCTTTATTAAATTTATTTTGTAGTTTACTAAAATCAGAGATTCTGATAAATTTTGGTGGGAGAATGGCAACATGTTTACTGATGTTGAAAGAGTCACCCTTAAAAGCACAACATTCAAAGATATTATTTTACGTAATCTGCCAGAAAATAACAAACCAATCATGCCACAAAATATTTGGACGGTTCAACCCCAATCAAAAACCACCAATTCTTCATCAGCTGTTGATGTAAATTATCCAAATGATATTCCTGCATGGTCACCATATGTTATTAAATATAGAATTGATGATTCTTTTATTCATTTCAAAGTAACTTTACAAACTGGTGATGGTGAGGGATGGTTTGGAATGGTAATTATTATTGTCGCTGCTGCTGCTGCTGCTGTTGTTGTTGTTATAGTAATAATGAAAATTTGAGGGATTTAATCAACTAAATTTTGTTTAAAAAAATGTTTTTTTTTTAGGGGTTTGAGCCTGATGACATTGGAATGAAGGGAGCAGATTTTGTTATTGGCTTTGTAAGATTACAAAAAAAAATTTTTTATTAAAATTAAATTTTAATGAATAAATAAATAAATTGATTTTTATAGGTACGGGAAAATAAAATTGACATATTCAATTATCGATCATCATCAGCTGATCATTACCCACCTGATCGTGATGATAATTCAGATTTAACAAATATTAATTCAAATGTAAGTGATAGTTTAGCAACTATTGAATTCTCAAGACCATTATTACCTGATGGAAGACGCGGAATTAAGGATGGGCTTGTTAAATGTAAGAAAAAATATCCTTTTAGGTGTTTGTATCTTTGGTGTTATAATAATATTATTATTTATATTTAATCACTTACTATTTTGTTTTTAGATATTATGGCTTACAATCCTGGAAGGTAAAAATATAATAAAATGAATAATTACACTAATAATGATATTTTTAATAATGATATTTTGTTATTATAAATAGTTCATCTTTTACTTATCATGGAAATAATCGAATATTGATAATGATTGATTTTTATAATAATAAAATAGAAGCAGTAAAAATAAAGGCAAGTCAACAGACAACAAAATATATACATGGAATTGGAATGTCATTTACCTGGAGGTAATCTTTTAATTAATCATTACTTGATCTATTCTTGCACAATATACTTACTTTTTCATTACATAAAATAGTGTGTTATTTCCAATATCAATTTTTATAGTTAGATTTTTTAAACATACAAATAACTATCTCAAGATTCATCGAACTATACAGCTTCTTGGTGGAATAAGTATAGGAAGTTTTGGTGCTTCAGTATTAGCAATGTCTAATTCAAGAACTCCCCATTCATTGTAAATCTTAATCTATTGATTTATTAATTAATATATATTGTGATATATATATATACACATACTAATAACCCATTAATAATTTATCTAGTTTAGGATTGACACTTTATTGTATAGTATTTATACAATTAGCAATTGGATTAATTTCAATATGGAGTCAAGCATCTTTAGTATCAGTAAATTTAGGGTATCCTAGACTTTTTAAAAGAACTCATAAATTTTTAGGGATCTCTTTGTTAATTGTTTCATGGATTAATATTTATCTTGGTTAGTAGAACCAATTTGTGGATGATATTAATATAAAGTTTTTTGATCCGAGTATTTGATATAATAAAAAACTAACTGTATATTATGAAATATACTGTATGTTTATTAGGCATGGATACTTATAGTTTATCATATGGAATGTAAGTAGAAATATTAATATCAATAATAATTCTTATGAGTAACTATAATAAATTCATCAATATATATTAATTTTTTCAATCATAGGGATTTGTCACGTTATAAAGCATTATACATTGTTTGGATAATTTTCATCATACTAATATTTATAAATTGGGATTTTTTATTTAATACAAAAAAAATTTTTAAATTTTCAAAATATAATAATAATAATGAAAGTGAATGTGAGGAGGATAACAGTGGTAATCAAGGAACAAAAAAGTTTATAATTGAATATCTCGGTGATGAAAAATATAACAATATATTACCAGAGTTAACATTGGATGAATTTAATGATAAAGTTCAAAGAGGTGTAAGTTTTCTAATTAATTGGTTGGGAAGGGGATGTGAGCAATTAATTAACAAAAGTTGAAACTTTGACATATGTAATTATTATTATTTTCAGGCACATTTAGTAATTTGTGATGGATTTGTTGTTGATATAAGAAAATGGATAGGTGTTCATCCAGGAGGAGCAAAAATATTGGAGAGTGTAATTGGAACTGATATTACTGATGGTAAATTAAAGATTTCTTTTTAGTTTTTTTTTAGTCACAAAATTTAAAAATAATTATTTTATCTCATATTAGATTTTCATGCAAGAAATATTAATGCCAACAAAGAAAACAACAACAATCATAATGATAATGAAACAATTAAACAACACTCTTTAAAACAAAAATCTTCTTCTTCAGCAACAAAATCAAAAATTAACTTTAATTTTAAAATAAATTATAAATTTTCAATTGCAAAAATAGTTGATGATATTAATAAAAAATATATGGTTAAATCTCCATTAGCATTTCATCCTCATAGTTTAGCTGCCACCAAAAAAATGACAACAATGATAATTGCAAATTTAAATGAGAATATCAATGATCAATACCAGAATAATTATGATACTGATGACAATGTTAATGGTAATTGGTTTGTAAAAGAATCAGTAATTCATAGAATAAAATTTAAAAGATTTAAATTAATTAGTAAATCAATAATAAGTAACAATAAAAAATCACCAATTGTCAAATTTACATTTATTAGCAATAATAATGACAGTGATGATGATGGCAATATTAATAACAACAGCAACAATGATAATAGTAATATGGATTTGGATTATTTGCCTGGGCATTTTATTGAAATTCAGTCAAGACTTAAAGGTCAGATGGTAATTAGGCATTATTCACCAATAGATGGAAAAATAATGAAAAGTTTTAGTATTCTAGTAAAAATTTATCCAAATGGTTCAATGTCAAAACATTTAAATGATCGATTAATTGGATTTGAAATTCAAGCAAGAGGTCCATTTGATATTGGTGATAGAATATTGTCAACTAATCCTATTACTACTACTACAATATCACCACCATTAACTGTAAAAACAACAAACTCAACAAAATCTCTTCAACATCATCAACAACTGCAACAATCTCCTATTGAAATGGAACCACTTTCATTCAATAATAATAATAATAATAATAATAATAATAATAATAATAATAATAATAATAACAGTAATAACAATAATAATAGATTATCTAAAAATTATAATAGATTATCAAGTTATTTAGTTCCAATTACACCAACAGTTGCTACTTTACTATCCTCACCAATAATCAATAGAGCTTATTTATTAAATAATAATAATGATGGTAATAATAAATGTTGGGATAATTTATATATGATATGTGGAGGAACTGGAATTACACCAATGATTCAGGTAATGAATATGTTTTTAATTAATTCAAGCATTAATTTGGTAAAATTTTTTTCTAATTAATTATTTTTTTTTTTTAGTTGATAAAATTTCATTTAAAACATTATAATTTTAACAATAATAATAGTAAATTATCAATGCATTTAATATATGCCAATAAATCTGTTGATGATTCAATAGTAAATTTAAAAGATTGCTATTATCATTCACTTAATAACAATAACACTAATGATAACACAAATATTGATGATGTATTGTCAATTACATATATATTTGATAAATTACCTGATAACTTTTCTGCTAGTATTACTGGAGAGGGTGAGGAAGAATTACAAAGGATAAGAAAATCAGGGTTGGAAGGAAAAATTGATAAGGATATTTTAGAAAGTTGGTTCAAAGGTGGAGAAGAGACGTCTTCATCAACTTCATCAATTCCATCACCTTCACCAGCAGCAGCAGTAAAAGCATCATCATCTGTTCAACCAACCTCATCAAATAGAAAAATTTATAATACACTCCCAAAATTAAACACCAACATTCACAATAATAATAATAATAATAATGATAATAATTTACAAAAAGTTCGGATAGAAGGAAGATTTGATTTCATAAGTAGTAGACCTAATAGTAAAATTTTTGTGTGTGGACCTAATAGTATGATGATTTCAATTGATCAAATATTACATGATATGAATTTTAATGAAAATGATTATATTCTATTGACATAATTGTGTTTGGGATTTGAAATTTACAAAAAAAAGAAAAAAATATATACGTGTACATTAATTTGTCACCAGGAGGATTAAATCAAAATTAAATTTTCTATATATAAAGTTGGTATAAAACTTTCTTACCTGTAACTTTCTGATGTGTAAAAAAGTTTTTAACTTTTCCCATCTTTTATTTAAATTATTATATACAATATATTAAACAATTAAAATCCAGGTTTTTCCTTTATTAAAACCTAGCAAATGTAATGTGCAAATTGAATAACAAAAACAAAAAAATTTTAAATTAATAATTATGGAATTTTTTTTGGATGTTTCTTTCTATTTTAAAAATTTATTCAAAAAAGAAGAAATCACTACTGTCAAATTATTACCCCATGTGAAAAAAATGAATAAATTATATAGTAAAAAAAAATCATTACAATTATAATTTACTTGAGATCTAAGGCTCCCTATTGCATCAGGAAGGAATACTACCAATCGATTGATGAGTCATGAATTTATAATCACGAAGAATTCATTTGTCTATTTATTGTGTTTTAATTTTACACAGTGAATTTCGATTTAGCGGATTTCGATTTAACGGATGTCTAATTAAAATCTCGATTTAACGGATTGAGGCTCAGAACTAGCATAGTAGAATTTTGTTGTTACACGAAATTTATACAGAACCCATTGCTCCCGAAACTTCACCAGTATATGGTAGTTACCTCTCTAAATTGGATATCAAGCTCAGATCCAATTCAAATACAGTTTATCACTTACTTTTATTGCCAGAATGTTTGCCGTGTATTGTAAAGTTACATTGCACAATATAAAAATTAGTGTAACATTTCAAATTTCCACTATGCTATCAGAACTG